TATTATTATAAAATATTAAATCAATATATTATAATATATTATAAATTAATTATTATATTATTATAACTATATTATATTATAATATTTTTTATTATATATTATATTACATTATAAGATATAACTACTATATAATATATTTTAATTATATTATAATATTAAAGGGTAATTATGGAAAAAAAAAATTTAGAATGGCCATTCCTTCCATATGAGGAAGGAATGATAATTCACCTAAAATGAGTGAATGACCATTCCTTTTGAATGATCATTCCTTTCTTATAAATCCAACCAAACATCAAATTAGAATTTCATTTCATTCTATTCCATTCCTTTCCACCCAACAAAACACACCCTAAATCTAATGTCGTTTTAAGTAATTGTGACCATGTATTTTTTTAATGCAGGGCAAGTAATTATGAAAGATTGTGAGTATTTGAGAAGTTATAGAACCAAATAGTTAATCAGGAAACAAAAAAATAAGATGCAAATACAACACTAAATAAATAATACATATACAGAGTTAATAGACAAATGGTTGAAGTTGTTGGTTTTTAAAATAATTTTAGATGATTTTTTATAGTGGAAGCATATCAATAGGGCCGACAATTTCTAACATGATACGAGGACATGATACGAAAACGATAAGAAGTAAACCGGTTTGGACCGTACGTTTACTATATGGGTCATTAATGGCTTGGCAAGAACAATACGAAAATAAATGGATAAGATTCGTGCTAACCCTATTAATTATATGGGCCTTAAACGTGTCGACACCCGTTCATTTGTGGCCCATATATATATATATATATATATATATATATGATAATGTAAGATTCAAATCTTTTAAGCTAGCTTAGTTAAGAAAATAGAATTTATTATTATCTTAGTTTTGTAAATTTTTGTTAATTAATGATTTTTATTGTGAGTAGCTACGTATGGTATCAAGTGATGAAGTGATTCGGATATTTATGAAAGAGATAAGACAATAATTCAAGCTAGAGGTACGAAAATGATGATTGATAAGCAAGCACATGTGCATGATTTTCACGTAGCCTATGGGTATCTCAAATAAACATGTTTTAGCATCTTAATGACCAGAGGTGTACACGCCTACGGTAGGGAGTGTGGAAAATTGTTATCCAATTTTCACTTATTTTTATTGTGCTCTCAAACTCCTGGTAGAATTTGATATTATCTCTACTAGGATAATTAAAACAAAACTAGGAATTATCATGAATATTTTAAATTCAAATTTTTTTTTTTAAAGAAATCATTGTTTGAACTCAGTTTAAGGTAGTTTGAACCCATCCTCCAAAATTGAGTTAGCAAAATTGATTACTTAATATTCACACCATAACCAGCTTGACTGACTAATACTATCAACATAAAACCTATGAATCATGACATTTATATGTTTTGGCCACAATCTTGACCAAACATAGTTCAAACATAGTTCTTTGCAAAAGAAATCAACAGAACATACAATTAAGGGAAGGAAAAGGGAAAGAAAACCAATTATTTTTTCACCTATTTGTTTCCTACAGCAAATTCATCAACGAAAAAGAAACCAAACAATAATAACTAAAAAATTATGATAGAACCAATATTTTATTTTAGAAATTTAATTAATTTGTAATTCTTAGATCTAGCATGATTATTACTCATTAAGAG